ATCACATCTCGTACCTCATCCAGAAAATCACAATCCATTTTTGCACAACTGATACCGAGCACTCATGTGCGCATATGAATGCGTGGAAGGAATTCAAAGAGTTACACTTCAAGCTGAATCAATACCACACGATAAGAATTCAAGAAGGTGAAGTTTTCCTAAAGGTTCTACAGCCTCTCGAAGATAAGTACAGACGTCTCCGTAATGATCCACAAGACTCTACTAAACCCGCTCATGACTTGTGAGACTATGTAACCTAGGCTCTGATACCAACTTGTTACGACCCAAAATCTAACCATGTCGTGATGGCGCCTATCGTGTTACAAGGCAAACCTATTTCCCAAAATATTACTATTAATTTGATTATAAGAATTTAATAAAACATTTGCAATAATTTAATTCATGATAAACTAAACCAACTCTAAATATAAATAATATAAAATACGAAAACGAGTCCCAAACATCGGGGTGTCACTAAGTCATGAGCGTTTAAAACTATGAACTAAGATATATAAACTATCTAACTGTCCAAAAGAAGAAATGACAAAAGGAGTAACAAGGCCCTGCGGATGCTACCAACTACCTTGCAGTCTCCAAAGATAGCCGGTCTGAACTCAACGATCACCACGCTCTAACTCACCTGGATTTGCACATAAAGTGCAGGGTGTAGTATGAGTACAACCACCTCAGTAGTAACAGAAATAACTAAGGAACTTAGCAATAGTGACGAGCTAAGTGAAACAGTCCAATTATTTATTTTTACAATTTTAAAAAAATAAACATGAATAAATAGGTAAATTCCATAATTCAGTAAATACCAAAAAGAAATTTAACAAATAAATGCAGCAACAACAAAAGTAAATGCAACTTCACAGCAATGTCACTCCATCACTCAGCACTCAATACTCAACACTCAATACACTCAACACTCTACGCTCATTGGGGGTGTGTATAGACTCTGGAGGGGCTCCCAAAGCCCAAGCGCTAAGCACAGACAACTCACGTGCTACCATATCAATACCTGGATCCGCACAGTCAACTCACGTGCTACGCGGACAACTCACGCACTATGGTATAAATACCTGGACCCGCACAGTCAAATCACGTGCTACGCAGACAACTCACGCGCTATGATATCAATATCCTCACAACCAGGCCCTCGGTCTCACTCAGTCATGTACCTCACTAGCCTCACCATCATCAACAAATAAGGAAACACAACCCACATCAAATATCACATCATATTAGCAAATAATAGAGACCGAGGTAAACATGTACAATAATTTCTATGACTGAGTACAAATAATGTGAGCATGAATAAAGCCTAAGCATGATCTCTAACATGAAGGCAGACAAGTTCAACAACAAGTAACTACGTAAACACAGATGATGGCCATGAGGCCTCACGGGACGGACCAAGTCTTAATACCTCGGGGTATACACCCACACACCCGTCACCTAGCATGAGTATCACCTCCAAACAATCACATGATATCAAATTCTTCGGGTTTATACCCTCAAAGCCAGAGTTAAAACTGTTACTTACCTCAACCGCATAAAATCTTACTCCGGGATACCCTCGTCTCTGAACCCGGTATCCAAAAGCTTCGAATCTAACCATAATCATATTAATACCATCATCATGTGCTAAAGAATCGAATTCCACAATAAAAACTACAAAATATGCCAAAAATCCGAAATCGGCCAAAATTTGCCCCCCGGACCCACTTCTGGGAATCAGTCAAAAATGGCAGAATCATAAACCTCATTCTCTCCCGAGTCTAACCATATAAAATTTTTCAAAATCAGACTCCGTTTGGTTCCTTAAATCCTCACTTAAAACTCTCCAAAACTCAAACCCTAACTCCCTCAATTTTACTTTGAAATCATCAATCAAATCCCAAAAACGATGATGGATTCATGAAATATAACCAAAATTGAGTAGAGAACACTTATCCCAATTCATATGGTGAAAATCGCCCAAATCCGAGCTCCCCAACTCAAAATATGATCGAATGAACAATTCCTTATTTTATATATTTTTCTGCCAGCTATTCTACCTTGTTTCTCATGTCAAACGATCCCACAACTTGCTTTTTATGTCTCCAATGGATTTCTTGAGAAATTCTAGTCAAGTTAGGCTTTTGAATCACTCAATTTGACCTTATAATGAATGAGATATGTAGGTTTTAATATTTACAAATAGTGCAGATTTTTAAATACGCTACTAGTGGCAATTTCGTAATTAATCTGAAAAATCTTGTAACCTAATTCTTAGTAAAATGACCCTAAAATTCTCATACGATATCCAAATTTGATCATTCTTTTTGCTACGAGTCCCTAATTACGATACGGATCTAATGCTTCAATTAAAAAAAAAGAAATCGAAGCTCATTTATTCAATATGATATCATTTATGCTTGAAGAAACGATATCGAAACATATGAAAAACGAGCGCAACACAACCCAAACCTCTCCGAAACTCACTCGAAGTCCTCGGGACCTCAACCAATAATTCCAACAAGACATATATCACTACCCGAACTTAGTCAAACCTCCAAAACACCCAAAACAACACCCAAACACTAAATCAACCTCGAATTCAAGCCTAAAAACTTCTAAACTTCCAACTTTTGCCAAGCCTAATTATACCACGGACCTACAAATTACATTCCAAACACACTCCTAAGTCTAAAATCACCCAACGAAGATAATCGAATCATAAAAATCCAAATCTGAATTCGTTTACTCATAAGTCAACTTTCGATTGACTTTTCTAACTTAGCTTTCTAACTAAGAGACTAAGTGTTCATTTCACTCCAAAACTACTTCGAACCCAAACTTACCAACTTGATACAACTCAACATAGCTGAACAATACATAAAGAAGCATAGATGGGGGAAATAAGGCTATAACTCTCAAAACAACAAGCCGGGTCGTTACAAGAACTTTACGGGATAAGTGTTAGTGTGTCACTTGTATTTGCCTCTTCGTGAGGTTGTTCTCTCGATATTTTGTTACGCTCCGCAATATTACGTCGATATTACGTCCCACAGTATTATATACGATGATGCTACGCTTCGCAATATTAAATTACAATGATGTTGCACCCTGTAGTATTATACATTGAATTTGTCGTTAGGTAATTGATATTAGTCCAAGGAAAAAGATTATTTGAAGATTATAAGGATTATGCTATTTTAAACAAATGATGAGTAAATTCGTGATGGTGAGAGGGGAAGTAAGTCAAAAAAATAAATTTTTCGTCCAAGTTTGGCATAGTGGGATAAAATGCGGGCCGAGGGTTAATATCCGATATTTATGGACTAGTGCCATACAACATACTACATGGCCATAATAATAAGGTGTACAAGGCATGTTAAAAGCAAATGATATTTTAAGTAAGTTAAGATAATTCTTAATTATACGGGTAATTGATTAATTACCGGGTAATTGGTTAATTACCGGGTAATGAGACATTACCTAATTAATTGAGGATATATTGGATAAGTATTAAATAGCATGACATGGCAGCACCCCATCACTCTTTAATGAATCATAAAGAAGATTGGGAGGTGACACACTTGAAGGATTTATGTGTGACACCAAATCCTTGAAATGTGGGCTTTATCTAATCTCTTAAAAAGTTGCATCCAAGAACGTTTGAATAGAAAGGACATTCTGATCCAAGGAAGATATCATGTTAATGCATTTTCCAAATAACAACTCAATATTGACTTCTTAATCCAAGGAACAGATCGTTAATTCATTTTCCAAAATAAAGCAACATTGTTGCTAAGTTCTTAAGGAAATGTTTTCGGCCAAAATTTTCTTTGCCTAGCAACGTGATTGCTTCGTGCTTTTCATACGATTTGTTCCATATTTTTTCGCAATTAACGTATATTAGAGGATTATCGAGAGAATCGACTCAGGTATGTTAAAGCTATCCCTTTTTTTTTTTGGCATGATCTATACGACACAAACGAAATGAGCAAATGCACAAATTCCATAAATGACTCTATTCGTAGAAGTATTAGAGATATCTATATTCTTGAATTTTCATGTGTTATAATATTTTATCATCTGTTCATGGGTCTCAGAAAAATACGAAAGTTGAGAGTACTTTATGACATTACTCAAAGGCAAAATGGTCTTATGACATTCCAAAAGATTTTATTAACTTTATATCCTTCATGTCTGTATGTAGTTATTTATGTATCTTACATACTCGGTACATTATTCGTACTGACGTCCCTTTTGCTTGGGGACACTGCGTTTCATTTCCGCAGGTTCCAATAGACAGGTCGAGAGCCCTCTAAGTAGGCTACCAGCTCAGCGAAAGATGTTGGTGCGCTCCATTTGCTTCGGAGTTGCTTGATTGGTTAGTATGATTTAGACGTGTATTATTTGGTATGGCGGGACTCTGTTCCGAACTTTATAAAAATTATGTATTCTTAGAGGCTTGTAGACAGATGTCACGTATGTAAAAGATTGTATGGCCTTGTCGGCTCATGTTCAGTACACGAGTGGCTATTTTGGTCTTATAGGCCCGTACTTCATAAGTCTGAGTTTGTATTCCCTCATACTTTACTCCAATTCATTTACCTATGATAGAATGATATGAAAGATACATTACGTTGGTACTCGGTTGAGTAAGGTACCGGGTGTCCGTCGCGGCTCATCGATTTGGGAGGTGACAATTTTGTACTCTCTTTTTATTATAGTGGATTGCTCATCTCCGTCGTGGACGTAGGTCAGTTGACCGAACCACGTTAAATGTTTGTGTCTCTTTGGTAGATTTCTCTTTTGTTGTCTGATTTATCGTCCTTAAAGATTTGTTTTACTAGCTTCTGCATGACACCTGACATTTTTCGGTGCTAACAAGTAACTTATATAAAGAACACGTGCTTATTGCTTAACATGTCTCATTTTGCAAAAAAATAGCAATGGACAAGATGAAAGATCGAATACGATAAATGAACATCACAAGTGGCTAAAAATTTAACCAGCTAATAATCTACGTATTTATTAACAATTTATAGAACAATACAGACCAATCTCCACAAACAAACAAGAAGACACCCTACAAGAAAGTGAAGCTCAAATAAGTACAAGCCTTTTGTCAAAAACAAAGACAAAAAATTACGAACCTCAAAGACTAAATACATCCAATTATTGGGTATTTTTGTCATTATATTAATGTCTATTACAGGAAAGCCTTGTCTTTACAGAGACCCAAATAGTATCCCGCTATTAAAAGTCACTAAGATTTTGAGATTTGACCTTTCCTTACTTATGGGATACCCAATCTATGCAATTTTATGGCTAAATTTGCAAATATTTTTCATTTTTGGTTACACAACCACAGATCTAGAGTTGTGATTATCAGGTGTAGGAGTATTAGTTGGTTCAATTCTTGTCATCTTGAATCCAGGCATAGAAGAACCTTCATCTTCATCATGGTATAAGTATGCAAAACCTCCATGTCTTGTTAAATCCATTCCTGCTTCTTCATCTTCTCGACATATTCTCAATAACTTGAATTTATGTAACAAATAAAACAATGGCCCCATTGTCACACTCACCCATCCAATTATCACAAGTATTTGTATAATTTGCGCGCCTAATAACTTTCCCCCACCTCCCATAAATAATCCATATGGTCTGTCAGGAAATCCAGGATATACTTCGTTAACATATGCTTTTTTCGCGAATAATCCTGTGAATATTATGCCCCACGAACCACAACCGCCATGTAATTGTGCAGCTTCTAGTGGATCATCATATTTTAATTTCACAGCCAATTTATTGAAACCAATTAAAACCCAAGCTGCTACAAATCCACAAACAATAGCAGCCCATGGCTCAACAACTGCACAACCTGAAGTAATTGCTGCAAATCCCCCTAATAATCCATTACACACATCAATTACATTCCAATGTCCTACTAAAAGTCTCTTGCTAAATAATGTTGTGAGTGCAGCTGTGCAACCGGCCAATGTCGTCGTGACAGCTGTCCTTCCAATTGCACTCCATTGACCATAATAAACACCCTTTGGACTATCATAACTTTTGAGTATGGTTAAAAATGAACCGGGGTTAAATCCATACCAACCAAACCAAAGCAAGAAAGTACCCAATACTACTAGTGATGCACTATGACCTCTTAATGCAACAGACCGGCCGGTCCGGTCGAACCGGCCGATTCTTGGTCCTTCAATAAAAGCTCCCCATAGACCGGCAATGCCTCCTACCATATGAACTACACCTGAACCGGCAAAATCAATGACTCCCGAACCGAATAATAAGTTTCCATCGGTTTTTGATGCACTGGCCCAACCGTCACCGGACCAGAACCAATGTGAAACAATAGGGTACACAAAACCGGTCAAAAAGGAAGAGTAAATGAGGTAAGCCACAAATTGTGTCCTTTCAGCTATGGACCCACTGGTGATACCTATAAAATAAAAAATAAAAAGCTTAGGTCAGAGAGAGAACAAGTGGACAGAAAAAAGATATAACTGAAGACAAGTAAATAATTGAGTAATATATTTGTGACGGCTAAATTTGGGAAATATTAAAAATTGAATCGTAAGACTTTTCTTTGTAAATGTTTTGTTCTTTAGTGTTTGCTTTGAAATGTTTCTTGTATACTCAAATTAATGCATGCGAATAAGTCCAATGGGTGAAAAAAAAGGAATAATTCCAAGGCTCTAAAGCAACTACGTCATTCCTATTTGCATGGACTTCATTAGCTTGTCTAACTTCTGATGATCGTGTACATGTAATTTATATAAAAAGTTATTTGCACTTAATATTTATATCAACGTAAATTCTATACATATACTCCGTATTCATCAGAGGTAAGAGATATGTATTCTCATTTTAATTTTTAACTGTTGCGATTAAATTGATTGGTTTGGTGTTAACATGCACCGGAAGTGGACAAGGATTTACCTGTGATCTGATTTCTCATTTTATTAAGTCTCCCTTTTTACTTTTATTTTTATTCGAGAAAATTAACAGAACGGAAAAGGAGAAAAAGAATACAGGCATTTGAATATGATTGTTATGTTTGTCTTTTGAATTTGGACAATCTTCGATCAGTATAAAATAAGGCCAAAAAAGAACGATTAAGATGAGACTTTAAAGGTTAAAAAAGTATAAGTGGATAGAAATATGTAAAATCCTACGAAGGAAAATGTCTCTTTGATGATAAGTTGACCAATAAATAAAAGTTTTCATAGAATGCATCAAGTAATTTTGTTGAATATTGGCTGTTAGTTTTTAATGAAACATTTAATAATCTTGACCAATAAATTTAACATCTAGCACTTAATAGCCAAAGAGACTTTTTTTCCTCAAGCTAATACGAAAATTAATATACCTGCAGCAGCTATGGCGAAAGCCCATTGATAAAGAAAGTAGCTGTAGTCAAAAGATGGTGAAGGAAACTCTTTCAACCCAAAGAAATGTTTTCCAATGAAACCATTGGAAGGAGTTCCAAAGGCAAAGGCAAAACCAAAAAGATAATAAGACAAGCCACCAGCTGCAGCATCCAGCACGTTCGTAAGCATTATATTCATGGTGTTTTTTGCGCGGACAGAGCCCGCGCACAACATGGCAAAGCCAAGCTGCATGGCGAAGACAAGGTAAGCAGAGAAGAGGAGGTACGTGTTGTCCACTGCGTAGGTGGTGTTTGTGAGGTATTCCGAGACCGCTGTGAAGCGGCCGCAAATGAACTCTGCGGCCGCTGTGGCATTGGCTGAGCCGCCAAGGTGTGGGAGAAGATCGGCGGCTGAGCAAGTCACGGCGGAGGCCATGATGTGAAGAATTAAATGGAGAGAGTGACGAAGGAAGGAGGGAGGAGTTTGCAAGTGAGGCAAATTACATGTGGGATGTGGTTTATATAGACGGAAATGGGTTTTAAAAATGTATTTAAAAGTTTTTATTAGTTAATTATTTATTTAGGATTTATTAAATTTTGTTTGTTTGTTTTTTGGAGCCTATATATTAGTTCCATGGGCTACACACTACCCACGAAACTTTAAAGTCACGTTGCTGCAATTTATTTCATTTTTTGTTGGGAAAAATAGACTATCTATTTTTTTTTTAGCGCGTACATGAGTAGTAATATATTACATAGGTATATTGTGTACGTTTGTAGAATTTTTTTTTCTCTAAATTTATGTCGAAGATAGGAGGATCATCCAACTGACATTAATTGAGTTGTGTTATTTTGTGGCTTGAATTATCTTCTTGTATTTTGAGGAAACCTATAATCTCTATAGGTTTAGAAAAATTCATTTTCCTAATAGATTTAGAAAATGAAAAGCTATTGTCCTTGTCAAATTGGGAAACCTTTCTCCTATAAATGTATGACCTTTTGGGATCTATATATAGGGGTTGTACTTGGGGATTCTTGGGTTCTTGATTCTGGTGCTACTTTCCACATGTGTCCACACAAGAATTGCTTTGCAACTTACAAGTAAATGAGTGGGACTGTCTATATGGGAGATGATAATCCATTATCAGTAGAGGGGATTGGTAACATCAAATTGAGCATATTCGATGGAATTATCAGAAACATTGAGTGTTGGCATGTTCCTCAGATAAAAAGAAATTTGATTTCCCTTTCGACTTTGGATGATCAAGGGTATAAATTTCACTCCGAGAATGGAATACCTAAAGTGTGTAAAGGATCCATGGTACTCATGAAAGGTAAACTGCATTCTAAATTGTATCATCTTCAGGCTAGTGTAGTTGAAGAGGAAGCTGTTGTAGCTTCTGCGAAAAGTGATCTGAATCAGTCTCAGTTGTGGCACTTGCGACTTGGCCATATGAGTGATAATTGATTGTCTTTGTTGAGTAAGCAGAATTTGCTGAATGGGCATAAAAATCAAGTTTTGAATTTTGTGAGCATTGTGTGTTTGGTAAACAGACAAGAGTAAAGTTTAGCAAGAAAACCGAGCACAAGACCAGAGACAAGTTAGATTATATACACTCAGACTTGTGGGGTCCAAATAGAGTTCTCTCCAAGAGTGATGCCGGGTATTTTATGACTTTGATTGATGATTACTCAAGGATGGGGTAGGTATATTTTCTGAAAATAAAAGATGATGCATTTTCAACATTTGTTAAATGAAAGACGATGGTTGAAAGGCAGACGGAAAGAAAGTTAAGCATCGGAATACCACAACAAAATAGTATTGCAAAACGTATGAACAGAACTCTTTATGATAGGGCACGAAACATGCTTTCACACTCATGTGTTAGCAAGGATTTTTGGGTTGAAGAAATCAATATAGCTTGTTATTTGGTCAGCAGATCTCCATCCACAACTATTGAGTTCAAAGCTCCTTTTGAGTTATGGTTCGCCTACTAATTATTCAAATTTAAGGATATTTAGTTGTCATGCTTATGCTCATGTGAGTAATGGAAAACTTGAGCCGAGGGCAAAGAAGTGCATATTTTTAGGGTATGCAACTGGAGGAAAAAATTATAGATTATGGTGCACAGATCAAAAGACTCTAGGGCTAATTATCAGTAGGAATGTAGAATTCAATAAATCTGCCTCACTGGACAGTCATAGGGAGAATGCAATAGTAGAAACAGATCGTGGTGTCACTGACCGCATAGAGCTAGAAATTGAATCTCCACTTGCTCAGCCCAGTAGTTCTAAAGTAGAGGAAGTAGAGGAGGTGCAAAATATTAATCAGGATGATAATGTTGATGCACTTGTGCAACAACAACCATATAGCATTGCAACAGGTAGAGATAAGAGAGTGATCAACCAACTACAAAGGTTGCAAACGTAGTTGATGGGAACCTTCTTGGATATACAAATATTGTGGGATTTGCTTTGGCAGTTGCAGAAACCGTTGATGCGTTTGAGTGTTATAGCTATCAAAAGCTATTCCGGGTACAGAACCAAATCGATGAATTAGTGCTATGGCTGAAGAGATTGAGTCTCTTAACAAGTTTAGGCATTGCCTAAGCTTGGTTGATGTGTGCGGCAATAGGTAGAGCCCTTGCAAGGGCTGAAGGCAAGGTAGAGAGACGTTGTTCCCGTTAATGAAGAGAATTCAAGCCAAGGGGAAGATTTGTTATTTTGTGACTTGAATTATTTCCTTGTAGTTTTAGGAAACTCATAATCCCTATAGGTTTAAGAAAACTCATTGTCTTAATAGGTTTGGGAAAGGAAAAGTTATTGTCCTTGTCAAATTGGGAAACCTTTGTCTTATAGGTTTGAGACCTTTTGGGATCTATATATAGGGGTCGTAGTTGGAGATTCTATAGATTGTACTGTGCTTTTCTTCTCATTCATAGTGGAAAACTCTCTCTGCTTCTGCACCGAGGATTAGGCTTAGCCGAACCTCGTTAAATTCTTGTCTTTATTTTTCTTCTTTATTTGCTTTGTAAATTATGTGCTAGTTAACCCACGATCTTCCGCAACAAAGTGAAATGATAGTGAGCAAGAGTTTGATCTAAAAATACAATATAACTGTTCCCTTTAATATGAGGCTAGTTAAAATCGGGGGCGATGTCCACAAATAGCCACTATCAGCACCTGTCTTTATTTTAAAGCCAGTGTTTTAAATGTCTTTAGTTTTTAGCCACTGGTTTAATAAACTTATACCTGACTGGACGAAAACACCCTTCTGCTATAACTTATACCTGTCTTTATAAAGAGCATTAATATGGCGTTGGTAGAAATCAACCCTCTGAGCATCATTGACACCTTTTGCAACTTCATTAATATCAGACTCACCCATTCCTGATGACAATGTCAAACGAGTTTCAAATTAGGATGAAAANTTGAACATACAGAATTTAGCAAATAAGTATTGAGGATGATGTCATTCATAAATACTTTTGTTAGTGTTAGTACAATGTAAGGCTTACTTACCCAGTGACATCCTATACTATATACCTAGTGACTGAAGCAACAAAGCCAAAGAAAAGCTCAACTACTACGCTATATATTAATAGGGAAACCGAAATCCAGAAAATTCTTTTGAACTTTGACCACGAGCTAATTTGGCTGCAACTTCATCATTATGATAATTCTCTGTCTTTGCATATTATTGATGAAATTTGGACGATTTTGGAGGGCTTTTCACATTTACCATTACTGCGCTTGATATATACTTCACCTTCATCGCTTCTTTCTTTTTACAAAAGGTTTTGGGAATATAACCATTGAAGAAAAGGTAAAACTATCTTTTTCCTATTAGTAGTGGCTATTTTTGCTTAGCATTATAATTAGTGGATAAAAATTAAAGACCCCCTTAATTAGTGGCTACTACACGCCATTTTTACTAAAATCGGTCTTATGGAAAATGCATCCATATCGTTAAAGCACAATTTATAATGTTAACCATCACTAAAGCTTTATTTTTTGGGGCCATAAAAAAATAAACTTAGAGGGCCCCAAAATCACTCTTTTTATATAGATGTAATTAATACACATAATTTAAATAATTATTACATTATTACTTATTATTAATTACAAGTAAATCTTTTCAATTAGTTGCTACCAACTTGTTATCAATCATTAATCACATAATTCTAAATTTATACTGTTATTTTATGAATTAATTTGAGGTATACCGATGAAAGTGGCTGGCAATTAAAATCAGTGTTTTTTTCCTCGTCTTCATCCCTTGCATCGATTTTATTTACTTTGAAAGGCAATATATGTATTAGTGAGTTGAATGCCAGCTAAAAAGAAGCACCTCAAAATTAAAATTAGTACAATCTTACTTACGAGCTACGATCAACAATGTCACAACAAAAAAATGATGGATTATCACATCCACCGAAAAGAAATTTAAATGAAATAAAAAATAATACTTAACAATATTTCATCTCAAAAGTTCAAAAAATAAACGTCAAATAAATACATATAAGAATCTTATCATACAATTTAAAAGGTCTCTTTCTCTTATTAAGATTTTGTTTTAGATTAACTATTAATTTTAACCACCCCTATTAACAAGCCATGTATGTAATGTCATTTGTAAGACAATTAGGTTAAACCGAAACGAAAAAAAAAAAATGAAGTTAAGATTTTTGAAGATCTAAACCGCTTACTTATATAAAATAAAATATTACGAAGAAAATAGTGTAAAATGTTTAAAAATATCCGAAAATGGATAGCATATGAGGGTATTGTTTAATCACCATTATCACTGTAATCTAAGTATAATACTCACAGTACTAATAATGTCCTGATAAGCTTTTGTCATCAACGTTTGGGCTAACACTATTCGGTGATTTACCAAAACTGACTTACAAAGCTAAAAGAAATTAAAGAGTAGGTAATTAGGTTTATTATTTGAAGAAATTTAGTATAGCAGTTCGTACTGGTCATCAATTTCCGGAATAACTTTATAGTTGTACTTTGAAGTAACCTTAATGGATTAGTTGTACTTTGGGGAGTTGTTTATATGATAGGAAAATGCAATTGGCATGATAGGTCCTCAAACTAATTTTAGAATGCCGTATCATATCTATGACACTTTAGTCCTCCCAGTTAGATTTTTTTTTTTTTTTTTTTTTTTTTTTTTTTTTAGATATTCGATATGCGAATTTGAATTTGTGTCGGAAAAGCCCACGAAAGAGGTTAAATTAGGTAAAAATGGCGTGTGGTAGCCACTAAGTAAGGTGGTCTTTATTTTTTATCCACTAATTCTAATGCCGAGCAAAAATTGTCACTACTCTATTAAAATTATTTTGAAAAGACAGTTTTACCCTTTCTTCAATTCTTATATTCCCAAACCCTTGTTTTATTCGTTCAGACCTTCAGAGGGAAAATTTGAGAGCGAAAATTTTAGAGGCAAGTTTCGCATGCTCCTCAGTATCTGTATCGTCCTCGCATGCAAACCGG